AGCTTGTTGAACGTCTGACACCCACGTCCAGAAAAGCGACCGTCATGGGCCAGGAGCTAGAACATGTTGTTCTGTAAGTGTGTGGGAGAACCATTTGAGTGATAGACCAGCCATGCCTCTGGACATAGTCGGTGGGAGCCAGCGGCGGCACGTAAACACCGTCTTTGGACTAAAATATCTCGTGGTAGGGCCTGAATCATTGGCAGAAATCGGACACCTGGTCAAACAAGAGCTGTAATGAATCGTCCTGTTTTGGTGCGCAGCTGGTTAAAGCAACTTTCCCGGTCACAGCATTAACTGTGAAGAAATGTTCCCGGAAGCAATTGGTTAGCAAAAAGTCCTTCTATGAAAGTGAATCATCTACATCAGGAGTTACATTATGATCATAGTCATTGACATAAAACGAGTCACAGCACATAAAGGAAAACACCAGGCATATCGTCTTCGTTGTTGTAGCAAATCGTTACCGAGTATGAGGTCCACCCTAGCAACAAGGAGATTCTGACTTACCAAAACAGGCAGCTCGTGCACACAGGCTACGTTTAGTTATCCCTGAAAACCAAAGGAGCTGCACCTTTTACCTCAAAGTGAGCCCAAACGACGTATTTGTCAGTCTTCCATGCCGCAACAACACCCCCTTTGATGAGTGCTTGAGACAACCTGAGTCTCTTCAAAATAGTGACTGCTGGACACCATCAACTTCTACCGTGCCTTAGACAAAAGGACGAAAGGTACCAACGTCTGGGTCCTTCGCAAACTCTCCTGAAAAGATCGTCTCTGTGAGGTGAGAACTGAAACTGCAACCTCTCGTGCTTCACCTTATTTGGCTGCAGCCTTGTCCAACAAAACCGCCTTATGACCCGGCTTTCCACAGAAACTACAAGTAAATTAGAAAATTAGGACGCCCCATTAGTAGGCGAACGAGTCCAGCTCCTTCTGTCATGCAATAAAATTATTACGCATTGTACCATTATTGTTAGTCCCACCATGCCTCAAACAAATCCATCAGCATGCTTAGAAAAATATCACAAGTGTCGTGCTGTCGTTAGTGAATCCTGGCAAGGTCGCTAAAACTGTTAAGTTGCCCCTAATTTAATTTTAATATCCAGTAAGGTTCTAGACGTAACCAAACAAAAACAAGTGAAGTAAATCAAAAGCGGATAAAAATAAATAAAGTAAACCTTAAGAATTTAATTGAATTAAATATTAACGCAAAGAGCCTCGTAGGCTGTCACAACAAATTGATTCACTATCGAAACCTTTAAGACAATAAATGATACTAAAACATCGAAACATCAAAGCATTAAATAAAAATAAAGCATTGGATTACGTTAACACTGCCTAAACATATAAAATTAATAACACTGAATTACTTAAATGTAACTAAGCAAGCACTGATGGACACATAAGAGACATAAATAGGTACTCACATAGATATACCACATTGGTGGTGACAGGAACAACACAGAAATAAAATGAAGTATAAGGCACAGGTGACAAGTGTCACCAAAAAGAACATGAACTGAATGACAAGAGGGACTGGACTGAACTCCGTCAGTTGGTGCACTACTATATATAGGCCTGTCTCACCAGTGCAACCCGCCCTTAAAAACATGGGTCGTTTAACTATGCAGATGGTCGTTAGAGAACAAATGTAATGCTTTGTTGCCAATACTAAATGAGGAAATAAGATGGCTTGAACAAATAATAACAGTTAAAACCTTAACAGCACAGGGTAAGGTGACTAGATTATATAATAGTAAATAGAACACATCATTAAGCAGGAATATGGAACAACATGGAAGCATGTTATATAAAAAAATGATCAGACCCGGGAACGCTAACTGCTGGACCACCTCGTGATACTAAAAAGCAGTCCTAGACTCTGTTATATTTACCACAAAGCCAGTTCAACGAGCTTTGCGGCGCCGTGAACCCTTAATGAGATTACCCGTATCACATAGGTGGTCAGGAGTAACGTTTTACTCAAATCCGGCATTAGCCCAATAAACATGCCGACTTCAACATACAATCAACACCTCAACCCGCGAGGATTCGAACCCACGGCCCACGAGCCCATGACTGTGACCGGGGAACGCTAACCGCTGGACCATCAGGATACTAAAAGCAGTCCTAGACTCTGTTATATTTCACACAAAGCCTGTTCAACGAGCTTATGGCACAGTGAACCTCAAATGGGGACTACCCGTATCACGTAGGTGGTCAGAGTAACGTTTGTATGTAGAAGTCCGCGTGTTTATTGGGCTAATGAAATATATATATATATATATATATATATATATATATATATATATATATATATATATATATATATATATATATATATATATATATATATATATATATATATATATATATATATATATATATATATATATATATATATTTATTTATTTATTTATTTATTAAAATATATAACCAGAAATGACGATATTTTGATCCTATATAGTGAAACCTCGATATACTGGACATCTTTCTCCCCATAATCCATTAGATGGGTTTCACATCTGATGGACCCTCGATATAAAGTACTTGTGTATCTGTACAGTTCGTTAGATGGAGGCTTTATATCTAACTAACCTTCAATATAATAGACTTTCTTCTCTCTGTATAGTCCGTTATATGGAGGTTTCACTGTATAAACACGTGAAGGTAATCAAATTTATTGTGGTATTTAGTGATGGTTGTAAATAGTTGTAAAAAGTTGTACAAACACCAAAAATAATATTTTTTTATGAACTAAGATACACAGTTGGATCATACAAACAAAAACATGGTTAAATATTACTATACAGATTAAAATAACATGTTAGCGCAGGGATGTAGAGTGTCAGTGAACTGGGCCTTTGTTATTGGTGATAAAAACAGTAGTTTACGGCTGAAAGTTTTCACGTTAAAGGTCAGGTTTGCTTAATACTCTACACTATTTTCAGATTTTGTTTAAATTTTTTTCTTTAGTAATTTTTATTTTATTTTATTTTTTGTTTTGTTTTTCTGAAAATTTGGTTAATTTCTGTGTGGTAATTATGATGTGTATAGTTTAGGTTTGATAATTTTTTACCGTGGTCTTTTTCGTTAGCTAAAATTTGGAAAAAGTCACAGAAAAATGTCATAGGAAAAGTCATTGAGCAAAAATTATTAGTTTTGCTGTGAGTGTTTTACGGTCGAAAGTGGATTTGAACTTCAACATTAAGACCAAATAAAGTAAAATGATTTGAAACACTATGTTAAATACTTGTAATTTCTAAAACTACGTCCCGGCAAAGTGATATACATTTATTTATAGATTTACACATAAGGGATAACAACGAAACAGGAGTGCTGATAGTTGTCTCCTCACTGTAATAGATGAACGAATTTAATTCAGTAAGTAATATAATGACAAACGGTGAGAGAATCATATAGGTGGCGCTTTAATTAACGCATGAATATAAACATGTGAAAAGTCACTCACTTCATCACGCCACAGTCGGTAACCTAACCTAACTTGAGATCTTCATCCACTTACATATCATTGGTTCGTAACTTTGGGGGAGACAATCATAGTTATTTAAACGTAAGATGTAACAGGAAAAAACTTATAATATTTTTCTAGCGTATAGATTCAAAGCCTCGGGTTTAGCTCGGTAATGTTCCGTCAGCCGGACGTTTTTGGATCCGTAGGAAGTTTCCTCTCAAAAATATATAGTGTTTTATTGATGAAACTTGTGGTGGAGCAGCGAGATGAGTTATGGCTTTGTAGCTGGCCATTTATCGCACAACTCCACCTACTTTGTTTACTAAAGAGACGATAAATCAGGCCAGCTGAGTTTATCACATGGTACCAGAGGCGTTCATGGGCTACCCTCTGTCTGTCTGATGTGTTAATAAGGTCTCCTGTATAGAGTATTGTAGCTAAGTGATTCATCGCAGGGTGGTAAGCTTCCCAAACATCACTTGTCATACGTCATGCACTCTGCCTATTATTTGTACACCCTTTGAGGCTTCTCTGGTGCGAGATCAACCCTACACACACACACACACACACACACACACACACACACACACACACACACACACACACACACACACACACCTAGATGGATGTGATGACTTTAACCCCCTTGAGTGCGATGGCATTAACAGACACCTCAAAAACCAAAGTAAATTAAAAATACGATGAACACACATTGCTATTTCGATTTCATTACTAATTGGTCACACACACTGTCCCGACACAACACCTGTAGAATTAGTAGCGAAAATACCAGATAATCTGCAGTACTTGATGATGTCTGTATGTATGATGCGCAATGGAGAGAATGTCATTGAAATGAGTATATACATGTACTGTATATGAAACTGACATATACGTATACCAGTATAACAATTGTATACAGAGATAAATATAATTATTTTTTCCTACTGTAATAATTGTACATAGTGAGATATTTATACGGTAGAATTTAATATATAAACATCATACACTCATTATATTATTTCATATATTATGTATATATTCACTAAATTGATTGCCACTGTCATGGAGCAATATATTCGACAATCATATATCTAATATAGTTATACGCGCTCTGGATCATATAGTAATACAGTAAAACCTCCATATAAAGGAATTCTCTCTCCATATAGCCCGTTAAATGGAGGGTTTCACATCTAATGTCCCCTCGATATAAGGGATTCTCCTCCCCATATAGTCCGTTAAATAGAGATTTCACTGTAATTAAGTATGCAAAGGCCGGCTATTGTACTCTGTTTCAATTATTTCAGCAATTAATAACTTGTAATGTAGCAGGTAACTACACATCAACCATGTTTGTTTTTCATAGTTAATGAATTCCCTCGTGCAAACATGTATAATATAATACTCACTGATGATACAATTTTATGACTCTCCGCTTGATTAATATCTTTATGAAGTATGAAGGAGTGTCGGGTCTGTGGTGAGTGACAGTCTGGTCTGATGTGTGGTAAGTGACAAT